ATTCCCTCAGTACTGACCCTCTGACAGTGCAGCACTCCCTCAGTATTCTATGGAGTCATTTTGAGCTGGATTTTTGCTTGTGGTATGGAGTGAGAGTTGAAACCACAACTCTTTGGTTCGGAGTAATAGGTGTTACCTGTGTGGGGGTTTAGCTATTCTATGTGTATTAATTCTCAGCATGTGACATTGCTGAACCTTCCTGGTGAGCTGCCTCGTTGAACACGAGGAGTCATTTCAATACAGTTGTGTGGTTTGCTGTGCCCTTTTCGAGGGCAGTTAGGATTCAACCACATTGGTTTAGGACTGGACTCACATAAAGGCCTCGAATGGGTAAAGAGAACAGATTCCATCCCTGGAAGTGAGTAAGTGAAGCTGTTAAAGTTTTGTGTTCAATTTTACTCACACAATAGCTTTACTTCTTGAGCTTTAAAGGATGAGTTGAGATTTTGAAAGTGTTGCCATCCAGTCCCAGAAACCACAGTGTGACTAAAGTAAATTACCTGCTTTTTGCCTGTTGGTGTTGAGTTGGAATACGTTAGGGAAAGTGACAATGGGACATTCTCTCCACTGATCAAAGCAAATAACACACCAGTATCTTTTGTTGGTTGCATTTCGAGAAACAGCTTAATTTTCCAACCTCCTGGAGGATCTTCTGTCATATCTGAAAGAGTATTGAATAGAGAGGCACTGTTTCAAAAGAAGAAATACATTGCTTTGATTTCACGGCTTTTGCAAACTTCATTTCCCTGTTAGAAGTTACAATTGCATCTGCTTTCACTGCTGTATACTGATTGTGATTTCAAATAAACCTGGTGGACCTTAACCTGATGTTGCATGACTTCTGGCTGCATAGATGTATAGAGGTATACAGTCAAGAAACAGACCCTTCAGCCCAAGTCATCCATGCTGACCAGGTTTCCTGAACTGAACTAGTCCCATTCGCTTGCATTTGGCCCATATCGCTCCAAAGCTTTCCTATCCATGTACCAGTCCAAATCTGGGTTAAATATTGTAATCGCAACTGATGGGCAGTGCATTCCAGATCACAACAACTCACTGTGTAAACAAATTGTCCTACTGTCCCCAACTGATTCTTTTGCCAATTAGCTTCAATCTGTGTTGTCTGGTTATCAATCCTCTACCACCAGAAACTGTTACCCCTTATTCAAGCCATCAAAATGTCTCCAGTATCTCCTAAATGATTAGCTTGGCATTCAGTCATATTCAAAACTGGATTCCTTTTGCGGAGAATCTTCAGCAGTTCCAGCACTGATTGAAGAATTGGGAATCGGTTTTTCCAGAACTTAATTTTCTGGGCATGCAAATGTTTAACGGATATTAACAAAACACTCTCTCATTACTTCCAGCATCTTTCATATCCTAAGACTAAATCAAAGCCCTACAAAGTCAACAATTTGCTTCAAAATTCAGCAGTCATGATCTCTGGCCTAACCTTTTAATCCATGCTCCCATGAACTGAGTTGTCACTTTGGGAACAGAGTAATTGAAATAAATTGTGTCACTTACTGTAATTTAATGGAAGCATAGCATATCCCATGCCAGGGAAGTAGGAGCCCTTCACTATATCCTGATAGCACTGCTTGCTTTTTATATTCTGAATAACATCTTCAATTCCAGCAGATCCTTGATTCATCCAGCTCCATCTCCGCATACAGCCATCTAACCGAGGGTTCATCTGGAGACAGAAACAGAGTTTCAGGTGTGAATGAAGGTGAGAATACAGAGAAAGATAAGTGTTCTCTTACACATGACCTACAGTTTCACATTTGACCTGATTAAGATTAAGTCTGGTTAGGAGGATCAGTGTGGACTCGACAGGCCGAATGGCCTGCTCCCACACTGCAGGGATTCTATGATCCTACGATAAACAAGTCCCAGCCCTGAAACTAATCCTTAAAATGCTTTGAACTCATCTGGCTGACTGTATCCTTGCTGATGAGAAAATACCTCAAAGCATTTAATTTTCTTTGACAAAATAAATAACAGTCCCGATATGTCCAAACAAGCCTGTCTTAGTGATAAATCTCAGCTGGGAACAAGATAATTCGCTGGATTACACATCAAGATTAATTTGCAAAGCTGCTGGAGTTCATGGTTATCCAGGACTTGTCCATCAAAGCCATTCTTAGTCCCAGGGTGTTCACCGAGCAAGTACCATAAACTTTATTTCATTATATTTCACTTTTAACCATTTCACAGGTTTTTGCACATTCTGAGGGTATGGGTGACACTGACAAGGTCATTCTTTGTTGCTTATCACTTGTTGCCTGGATGCATTGAGTGTGGAATTGGGAACCAGCTCCAGGCCAGATCATGCGTCGATGGCAGCCTTTCCTTCCTGTAAGGATACACTTCAGCCGGTTGGGAATTCCACAACAGTCCGACAATGCTTGCAGTCACTTTCCGGTGTCAGACCAGACATTCCGAGATTTACTGAATGAATCTCACAGTGTTTTCATGGTTTGGATTCAAGCTGACAACCTCGAGGAATCTCGTCCAAACCTCAAACCACTGGGCTGTTTTTTTCATCCAGAAAAATACTAGATTTCACATGAAAGGCTAAACTGAGCATTTAAAACTCAAGCCTAGTACAACTCAATGGAAATCATTCAGATATACTTCATTCATTTAAAAAAGAATCAAATTAAAATACCCAGTTTTGTACCATTAAATTTTCCCAATTTACTTTATAATTACACCATTGATGATCCAAGTTAAAAGACAGGCATGCATCCACAATGCATCTTATCACCTCTTAGAGTCAAGCAATGTACAGCAGGAAAACAGGCTCTTCGGTCCAAATCATCCATGCCGACCAAATATCCTAAATTAATCTAGTCCCATTTGGCAACTTCACACAATTTATGCACCTGCAAGATCCCAGAGCTAGTGATAAGCTGAACTGGTATTGCTTGACTGAGGAATATTGACCAAAACACTAACTCTTCTGTTACGTTCACACCAGCAGGTAAAAATCTGAAAAAAAGCACCTCAGGTAAGTGCAACACACTCAGTACTGACCCTCAACAGTGCAGTGCTGCATAGTACTGAACCTCTAATAGAACTGTGCTCCACTATGGCCTCTGGATAGAGAGTACACCCTCAGGATGTTCAGCAACATTTGCAGTGCTACTCAGATACGGAAGCAGTTCATGTGCGTATACAGCAAGAGCTGGACAACATCCAGGCTTGGGCTGATAAGTAGCAAGCAACATTCATGCTACACAAGTATCAGGCAATGGTCATCTCATCAAAAGAGAATCTAACCATCACCTCTTGACATTCAATGGGATTACTACTAGTAAATTCCCCACTCTCAACATCATGGGGTTACTATTGACTAGAAACGGAACAAGACTAGCCATATAAATACAGTGGCTACAGAAGCAGGTCAGAGGCTAGGAATTCTGCAGCAGGTGACTCACGTTCTGTCTTCTCAATCAATACCTGTCTACTATCTACAACACAGAAGTCAGGAATGTGATTTTAAAAAAAAACTCTCTACTTGTCTGGGTGACTGCAGCTCCAAGATGCACTGAAGTAAACTTCCCAAGACTCCTCTGACAACACCTTCCAAACCCATGACCTCTACCATCTAGAAGCCTAAAATTGGCAGATACATGGGAATATCTGCACCTAGAAGTTCTGCTCTGAGGCACACACACCATCCTGACTTGGAAATATATCACTTTCATTCACTGTTGCTGGGTCAAAATTCTACAACTCCCTCCCTCCCCAAGCTGTGGGTGCCCCTACATCCTAGGTACTGCAGCAATTCCTGAAGGCAGTTCACCACTATGTTCTCCAGGGCAATCGGGATGGGCAAAAATTTCTGGCTGAGCAGTGATGAACAAATGCTACACGAACAAATAAAACGTTAGGACTGGCCCTCCGTCACCACAGCTCTTCATCTGCACTGTAGTGGAATATTAGATTCAGAATATCCTAGTGATGAAGTATTTTTCTGTCTCAATATCTTAGCGAAGCAGACTAAACCTCACTCACAAATTACAGTGTTGGTAAATTGATGCACTAATTGCATTAATGAAGGGGTGAATCCCCAGCTCATTGAGCCAATGAACATGAGCTGTGGGGATTGGAGAATTGTGACTACAGAATTTTGCTCCTTATCTCCAATCTGTGCTGGCGTTTCCTCACTTAATAATTCCGATCCTTCAAAGTCTCCGGAAAAACATGAACACAAACAGGAAACACTCTTATTTATCCCACTATTATCTCCACCAATTTAACTCACCAGTTCCTGTACTGCTTGTATCATTCACAGTTTGTGAAAAACCGGGATTCTCAAAATTCCTTTGGCCAGACTTTTATTTTGGAAGTTTCTCGCTGACCTTTCCTCGCACTGACCACATAGCCTCGAAGTTGTTTCACAGAATCACTATTCGGTTAATTGGAATCTGACCACTTCTCTCCCACACTGACTTTGGCCAGTGTTCAGAGAAGTATCTTTAACAAGGCTATGGGAAACAATGTTCAGTTTATTCTAAAACTTAGTTAGACCAGAATTGGAATGTATCAAATACGTTCTCCATATCAGAAAAAACTACAGCAGTGGTAAAAGTTCAAAAATGATCTATGATTGTGATAATGGAGAGATTGTAAGAACCAGGAATGGTTAAATGTATTGGGACCCTTTAAATGTAGAAAAGAGAAGGGTGAGGGTTGCCCTCACAGAGGTTTTAAGGTATAAAAGGCATAATTAGTACGTTAAAAGCTGAAAGAACTACAGATGCTGGAAATCAGAAACAAAATTACTGGAACATTTCAGCAGGTCTGGTAGCATCTGTGGGGAGAAACTGCAGTTAATGTTTCAGGTCCAGTGACCTTTCTTCAGAACATAATTAGAAGGTTTGCAGATGTCACAAAAGTAGGTGGTGTTGTTGAAAGGGAGGGGGATGGTCTCAGTCTGATATTAATCAGCTGGTAAATTGGGCAGAGCAATGGCAGATGGAATTTAATTCCGATCAGTGTTAGCTAATGGATGTTGAGAGGTCTAATAAGGAAAGGACATACACAATGAATGGTAGGTCCCTAGGGAGTAAATAGGAACAAAGAGACTTTGGTGTACAAGTCCATAGATCCCTGAAGGTGTCAGCACAGGGAGACAGGGCAATGAAGAAGGCGTATGGAATGCTTGCCTTCATTAGCCAGGAATGGGATAGAGTGAAGGAGCAAGGAAGTCTTGTTACAACTTTATAAAACATTGCTTAGGTCACAGATGGAATACTGTGTGCAGTTGTGGTTGCCACACTATCGGGAGAGCATGATTATACTGGAAAGGATGAAGAGGAGATTCACCAGGATGCTGCTTGAGTTGAAAAGCTCAGTTATGAGGAGAGACTGGACAGGCTGTATTTGTTTTGCTTGCAGCAGAAGAGGCTGAGAGGGGATCCCATTGAGATTTACCAAATAATGACAGGCATAGAGAGGGTAGATCATGAGAATCTTTTTCCCATGGCAGACGTGTCAAACGCCAGAGGGCATAAGTATAAGGTGAGGCATAAAAGGCTTTTCACCCAAAGGATGATAGAAATATGGAACATGCTGCCTGAGAGGGAGGGGGGGGAGGTACTTTTGCAACATTTATGAATCATCTAGACAAGCAGTTAAAATGCCAGGGTACAGTAGGAACAAACGCAGGTAAATGGGATTAGTGTAGTTTGGTCTTTGTTGGTTGGCATAGACATGGTTTCTATGCTGTATGACTCTAATTATAATGGCATATAAATGGATAGACAAATGGAAAAATGTTTCCACTTGAGATCAAAATTAGAATTGATAAATTTAAGATAATCAATCAATCCAACATGGAATTTAGAGAAAATATCTTTTTTTCCCAGAAAGTTGTGAGGTAAATAGTACAGAAAAATTTAAGGCAAGACTTGAGGGATTAGAAAGATTTGGTGATAGCATGAAGGCGATTGGGAAAAGGTTCATGTGGTCATAAAAAGTAGCATAGCCTAGTTGGGCTGAATGGCCAGTTTTCAGTGCCTGACATGCCATGACATGATGAGGTTAATCTCAGTTGTCCTGTTACAGGGCTTCTCACAACCCAAGTGCATCTTGGGAATGTGAACTTGAAAATCAGAAGTGAGACACTCACAAGTCCCCAGTATGTGAAATAAAAATTCATCCTGGGGTGGTCACATTCATCTGGTGCATAACTCAGCTCATGTTACTGTCACACCCAGCAAAGAGGAACATTTTTGTGAACTGGATGCAATTACCTTAAATACTCAGTCCTGAGACCTGGTCCCATTTATTTAGAAATGCACAAAGCTTGTTCCTTTTAAAGCAGAGACAACAAGGTGCAGGGCTGGATGAACACAGCAGGCCAAGCAGCATCATAGGAGCAGAGAGGCTGACGTTTCGGGCCTAGACCCTTCATCAGAAAAGGGGGAGGGGAAGGGGGTTTTGAAATAAATAGGGAGAGAGTGGGAGGCGGATAGAAGAGGGATAGAGGAGAGGATAGGTGGAGAGGAAACAAACAGGTCGAAGAGGCGGGGATGGGGCCAGGAAAGGTGAGTGTAGGTAGGGAGTTAGGAAGGGGATAGGTCAGTCCAGGGAGGACGGACAGGTCAAGGGGGTGGGATGAGGTTGGTCGGTAGGAGATGGAGGTGCGGCTGGAGGTGGGAGGAGGGGATAGGTGGGAGGAAGAACAGGTTAGGGAGGCAGGGACGAGTTGGACTGGTTTTGGGATGCGGTGGGGGGAGGGGAGATTTTGAAACTTGTGAAATCCACATTGATACCATTGGGCTGCAGGGTTCCCAAGCGGAATATGAGTTGCTGTTCCTGCAGCCTTCGGGTGGCATCGTTGTGGCACTGCAGGAGGCCTTTTAGGACAGTACTTTTTGCTGAGTGAAGCTCAAAAAATGAGAACCAGGAATAGAACTGGGTGATGGGGCAGGTTATGATGCATCCTTGCTAATGGCAGCTGTCTCTAAGCCATTTTACATTCTACAGCACATGATTGGTTGACTTCAAAGTTGCTGGCCAATCTCATTGGATGGCAACTCTAATCCCAGCAGCACCACTATGAGCAGCCACCACTGCTGGAACTATAAATATTAGCCAGATTTTAAATCCAGGAGTACTGAGAGGGCCATGTAAGTGTGCGGGTCTCACAGCAGGGAAGGGATGTGATGCCTGTGTGGAAAGGGAGATGGGTCATCTCAATGGAGAGGCCAGGAGAACACCTGGGGGGAGTATGAGGAGGGGGAGTTAACTTGTCTAATATGGAAGGGGGGCCCTTGTGGAATCTTCTTTCCCTCAAAACTGAGGCCAGTTGGGAAGGGGCCCGCGTCGTTAATAGGCTGCTTTAGGAACTCAACTGGGTGAAAGAGGGCAGATGTTCCCTGATCCCTGGCTGCCCTGGAAAATTGAGGACAGGTTAGGTGCAGCCAGGATAGTGAAGGGAGGCTGCCTGGATAATCTAATGCCTGTCCCCTCCCCAGATACAAACTGGTCAGCTGGGGAAAGTTAAATTTTCCCCAATGTTTATTTTCCTAATAATCTAGCATACCCTGCCACTGTAGGAAGCATGAATGCTTTGCAGTAGACTTGTATTAATGCCTGTCAGTGATAGGAGTAAAGACCTTGAGTACAGCAATGTAAACCTGATGACTGGGTTGCTAATACAATGGGAAATTGGACAAGGTCCCATCACAAGACAGCTTCTAAGGTTTGACTGCTTCCTCGGTCCATCTGTCTTTCCATCTCGTGTTCTCTGTACATAGCCAATGTTAAAAATTTCTCTAATGAATCATAAGTTGTACTGTTTGCAAATAGATAAATTCAATCAGCAATATACAACTGGCACAGTGTTTAGTAATTGGTTTCTGATGGGCTGTAATAGATTTAATCCGATTGCCATAACAATGGGATATGCATCACACATAGTTTATATCATTTCTATACAATTGAAAGAAATAGTAATTTTGAGCATCCCACCTTTTAAATATATTTCTCCTCACAGCATCATACCTATTGGACAAAGCAATTGTGAATGCTTGAACTAATCGAGGTCTTTAAAGTTAACTAGACGGAGTTCGAAAAAGCCTACTGACAAAATGAAAAGTGTCAGAAATTTACAAATGTAATGCAAAAATCTCTTAATTTGTTGTAAAGCTACATTTTACAAGTCATCAATATACCACAAGTCCATTAATCAATAAATGAACACAGATCAGGTCTTCTGAATGGCAATGGCATTTGGCTCCATGCCTATTTAATTCAGTGAAAAATTAAATCTATAGTATAACAAGTGAAATAAATGAAAGAAGACATGCTTCTGGAAAAACGCACTAAATTACATATGAAGTCAGAAATGCTTCCGAGGAGTTGTCTCTGCACAGGCCAACTTCTCACCAAATATTGAGATTTCAGTCTGCTCCTTTACCAAGGACTGTTCCTCAGTTGCACAGTGAGTTATACATAGTTCCTATGTTCATGCATTCAAGGATGAAACAGTGGCACCACAGCATTTATAACTTTCTCCCCTCTTTATGGAACTGTGATAGTCATTGTGACCCAGTGGAGTTTCTTTTTAAGCTGTATTATTCCTCCTAGGTGGCATCATCATTCAAGGATTTAAACTAAGGCTGGGGAGGGAGGTGGGAGGTTGTCAGGTGTTTTTATGAGATAGTAGGAACTGCAGATGCTGGAGAATCTGAGATAACAAGGTGTAGAGCTGGATGAACACAGCAGGCCAAGCAGCATCAGAGGAGCTTTCCTGCTCCTCTGA